CAAAGACCAGTGCAAAAACCCTGCAGAAGACATTCCTCTTACTCAAAGTCCAACTCAATTCTAATGTATTTATATAGCTGCACATAAGAGGAAGGCCCTACAATATTATAGTATGGAGAGAAACCCACTACTTGTGCTTTTCAGGCTTTTTTTTTTTTAGAAACCTTTGCATGGTTGCCAGGTCAGCATCACTGACTAGATCCATAATTCTTCATGTCACTTGTGCCGCACTTAAAATAACTGGATCTTAGGTGTAGGATTTGGATGGCGTCCAGTAAAGGGACTACAGCTCAAACTGGCCTCAAATCTTGTTACTCAGTAAGACCAGTTGAGGACAGAGTGGTAGTATTTTTCTGAGAACTGATAGTGTATGTCAGATAAATGATGAAAGGAAGGCCTAATGGAGAAAGAAGACAGACAGAAACATAACAGCCTCAACATCCTGCTCATCAATCTGTCTTTACATGACAATGTTACATAAGTTTATATCACCAGACGCCCCAACCCATCACATTTTTACACAGAATTAAGGATATATCAACATCTCACAACAATAAACACCTCTGTTGCTTGTTTTTAGCATTTCTTGGATGCTTATTGGCTCTTATAACACAGATCTGAGCCGGGGAGGGGGAGCGCAGTGTCGTAATAGTGACTCTCGGATTTCTCTTTGAAAGCACGCGGGGCAGTTGTCTTGTGTCTGGACTGCACTGTGTTATAGCCAGTGGTTACCTGCTGTCAGGGGAGTCTCCAAAAAATCCTGCAGCATTTCCTCACATCAAAGTAGCTGCTACTGTCCCAGTCTATGACCAGGTTATCATGACCAAGCATGTCTAGCCGGAGATCAGCAGTCAGGGCATTTGTGTTTCTCCGTTAGGCTCAACTGTAGATTTGTGAGAGTTTCTAATTTGAAATTGCGAGAAAATTTATAGAGGAGTTCAACTTGAGACACATATTTTATGTAGTTCCTGAGGAGAATTTGCAGAACTGCAGCAAAAGATTTTACTGTTTTTACATGTAGTGTTATATCATGCCGTGATTACAACTGTTTCTCAAACATTAGCACCATAATTTCAGTTAACGGCATTTGGCAGAGGTTAAAAGCCCCCCCCTCGGATTAAACACCCAAGAAATCCTCTCTGTTACGCAACCGCTTACTGGAAATGTTGGTGAGACGACTCATTTTTTCCACCTATCTGATCCACTCATGCATTAGTGGCTTTCTAAATTTGCTGCAGTAACATATAGAGCGATCTGTCAGTCAAAAAGAAGTTTGTAATGCTCAAAACATCTGAGCCTGGCCCTGCCTATAGCTCGTCCTCGTGCTGTTTTATGCAGCTCTTTTCCTGCTCTTCTCCAGTAACACAGCCTGATCTCGGGTCACAGGGGTCACAGTATATGAGCAGACATCTGGACCAGCAAACTGGTCCCAACACCACCATAGGGGAATCAGAGGAATCGGTTTTATCGGCGTGAAAAACAATCCAGAATGACAGAAGGATGTCGTAGCCCCTTTTTAACAGCCAGAGGAACTTTTTTTTTTTTTCATTTATCCACACCACGGACCTGCTCCACAGCCTCCCCAGATCTGGTGGGTGCTGGTGAAACTCAAACTGGCCTGGTCCAGATCAAGCTCTGGCAGCCTGCCGTGTCACAAGCGCCAAAGGTTTATCACTTCCCCTCTACTCCCATCTCGCATCTTCTTCCCCTTGACTTTATTTTCCTATTCCTTCCTCCAAAGCACTCTATTTATGGGCCTCCTCCTGTCATGCTCAAACGATTTTTCCTTTAACAGTTTTGTCATAGATTCAGTGCATCTATCAATATTTGTGTTCCCTGTTCGGTTTCTTTCCATGTTATTGGACAGCTGAAACATAAAGTGTCATACTTCTTGTTTTATGCTGCTTTCATGAATAAAATATACTTTTTTTCCTCAGTGAGAGGCACGTCAGTTGTCAAAACAAGCAGCTATTTAATCCAAATGGGATCCTTTTATTTTCGGTTGCGCTCTTCCACCCTCAAGCAAGATTGAATGGCCAAAGTCACGACTGGCGGCATTTGCCATGTTGGACCATTTAGGCCGGAAAAGTGGTCTTAACCTCATGTACCAATGCCATGGACTTTTACCATCTTTATGATCCCGCTCATTAAAATTAACTATCTGGTTGTAAAAAATAGATTTCCCCTTTATGTTGCCTTCTGGATTGTCTTATGTACTTCAGATCTAACACGAGAAATTCCACAAGTCTCATTCTTCCCTTCAGTTCTTCTTTTTTTGTGCAATCATGTGTTTCGTTTGTCTCCCCATTTTTTTTTTTTTTTTTTGTCGGAGCACTTGGCGATGGAAGGCACGAGTAGATCAAAGCTCTTATTGTAGCAACGGCTCCAAATACACAGCAGCACACATAAATCAAAGCGTTTAAAGTTGCACAATTTGAAATGTTGCGGTATAAAAAAGATAGCTAAAGATGACTACCTGTTGTAGATTAGGTCATTACTACTCAGTCTGGGGTGTTAATTTATATGTCATTCTGTCTGAATAGCTATAAAAATGATTTCATATTGGCTGTATTAGACCCTAAATTTTAAATAAAGAGCAAGTCATCAAACTTGCCTCGCTATGAGTGCCACCAAGGGAATACCCCTCGTTTAATAGGGCATATTTTTAAGAGATCTCCTAAAAAGCGTGGCCTGCCCCTTTAAAAGTTGGCCCATCGAGCCTCTGCCTTTTGATCAACCTAATAACCCCCCTACCCCTTCCCATAGGCACTTTTTTTTTAACACGATCATTAATGAGCCTCACCTCAACATCTCAGCTTCTCTGAGGTGACAGCCCGTCTTGTTGGTCCCATTACCACCAGGGTCTGGGAGCGGACACGGCCTCCGAAGGCCCTCAAACACGGCGCTGCTGTCCATAAAAATACAAAGAATGGGGCTCTCGCCTGCCACTCCGCCCTCATTTACCTTTTTGACTCCTTTGTGGACGCCCAGCATTTGTACTTTTATAGGCATTGGAGGTCAGGTGGACGAGGTCTTTAGGATTATTTACCCCAGAGTGCCTTGTCTCGTTCGCAGAAGCACCAACCTGCCCTCGTCTTCACCCTCACCTGAGCAACTCGGGGCCTGTAAAGCACAAATACAGAGTGAATAAGACGAGGGTAAAGGAGGAACGGGAGGCGGTCTTGAAGAACTCACAGATCTCATCACCTCTGAGTATCTAAGTCGGTTTGACTGATGATTGAAGAAGATGCTCCGAGCCGTGTGTTTTAAAGAAGCCCCGGGGTTTCCTTTGGGTCTTCTGCCTGCAGAGTTTATGATGCTCGTGGTCGACTCTGAGGCCAAGTGAATCTGCCAGAGCCACATACAGGATATCTTCTGCTCTTCTTCAGCCAGCCAGTATATCTTCTTATTCACGGAGGCCTTATTAACATCAACTGCAGCTTTTTGTCTGCACAAATCCCCCAAACAGGACAAGCAGTCAGGATTAACTGAACGTTTGAGTCTTATTTTCCACTGTTGGTTGCTGTGAAAAAGCAACATTAGCAGCTTCCTAGCCAGGGGCCTGACAGTTCCCCTGCTGCCACGACTTCTTCTAGTCCTCCCTATTATCTCCTACTCCCTGGGCCTTTCTGTTTGGTCCCTGGCTTTTATGGCAGGGTAGGAGAGGGCCATGAGGAAATGAGGTGACCCCAGGGTCACGAGTGGAGTCAGGGGGCTGGAACCGGACCACGGCCCTGCCAACCCCACTCTCTCAGGGCCGGTTCGGGTCGAAGAAGCAGGGAGTGCAAAGCAGACAGGGGGAGACTGGGGACAGGGAGCCTTCCATCCTTGACCCCGCCGTCATATGACTCTAATTAAGCCAGATTTGAATTTGTTTACAAGCCCCAGTAGTCTTAAATCTTCTGGGTCCTTGCCCTCCCTCCCTATACCTGTTATTCCACCGTCCCCTCATACCTCGAGTCCTTCTTTTCTTCTTCTCTTTAATATGGTGTCAGACATCTATTTATTATGCTGTTTTAACTGGTTTTCAGGAACGAGTTACAAGCTATTTGGGAATCCACCAAATAGGATTTGAGGGACACCCCTCTAAGATGTTAATCTGTTAGCGATATGAAAGGCCGCTCACCCCACTAAACTCCCCCTCCACTGGAACCCGGGGGCTCTTTATGGCCCCATCAGGCACCCGCATGGACGACTTACTGCTGACCTTGTGACCTGGCAGTTGAAGCCATATGAGGAGGGAATCTTTCTCTTGTCCCGGTACCGCCTACTCTCTTTTCTTGCGCTTCTGTTTCTCCCAAAGAATCGCCGATGTGCTTTTTGTCTGTGCAGGAAAACTATACATCAAACCACCATCTATCGCATTGTTCAACTCTGTTTTCTTCAGTCGGTACAGCAGGATGTAATGAGATCTCTCATCATCTCTGTACCTGAACCTCTTTACCACTAACAGGCCTGATTTCTATTCATTCTTCCACCCAAACTGGTCTCCCATGTAAAAGATTTACACGCAGCTCACCAGCCTTTATTAGGGAGCTACCTGCATGTTTGCTATACAACAAAAAGTCCCTCGACTGGCTCCATCATATTAAAAATTTACACGTAACTAAAGAGCTGTTACAATTGGCTTACTGGCATGTTAGTAGCCGAAAAGCTCGCTGCACAAGGCCTGGTCCTGGGGTGTTGGGTGGCTAATTGGATCGGTTGGGTTAAATAAATGTTTGAGTTCTCCCCTGCACTGAGGGGACCTGGTGGCAGGAGCCTCTCATCTTAGCAGAGGAGGAAAAAAAAGGTACATGAAAGGCAGAGGGGAAGAAAATAGGGAGGGAAATGAGCTCATTAATGATAAGATCAAATTTGTTCTGGGTATTTTATGCACGTGTCACAGTGTAGCTTACACAGAAAATGAGGACGACAGAGGGAGGAAGCAGAGACAGAGCCACAATAAAAAAGCCATACTTAAAGTGATAGAAGCTCTAATGAGAACTTTGTCATTGCAGGTTCCAGATCCAAAGAGGAACCAGTGACCCGAACAGCTACAAGAGCCTGGGCGACTGCTTCCGGACGATCATCCGCAGTGAAGGGTAGGCTGTTCGTGACGGTTAATGCCAACTACAGGACTAAAAACAGAACTATGCACACAGTCCTGTCAGTCAGAAGTCTGTCTGTTTTCTTCTATATGGGAAATGGAAAGGCTGTTGTTCCTTAAATACTCAATTTCAAAGGGATGTGCAATTTCAAATGCTCACTAAAACAAAGATTGTGTGGTGTTCCTGATTCATAGCCGGCCAACAGTGTTTAACATCAAGAGACATTATGCAAAAAGACACAAGTGCATTTATAAGTGCTTAAGTGTTGTGCACTATGCAAAAAACTAATAATTTAAGTGGTGCTTACGTTGTAGCGTCCTTGGATATTCTCTGCTTTTAGGTCATCACAACTACCCTACTTAGGAAAACGTGCTGTCGATGTCACAGAAGGCTACTGTGTTTGAAAAACTTCATTGGAATAGCAAAATCTGCGGCAACGTAACCAATTTTGCAAACTTTTTGCACTCGTCTGAGTTGTTTTTTGTTGGTTTAATGTACATGATGAGAGACGGAAACACCTTTCTTAAGTTTAGTTCTTAATTGAACATTTAACTCACATGACCGACTGCTTCTTCATCTTCTCCAGACAACAACCTTCCCTGATTGAAAACAATAACTAAAGACTTGTCTCCATTTATCTCTCATAGATGGGCAAAGTTTTGTTTTTTTCTTGCTTCTCTTTCCAGCTATTTTTTCTGTTTTTTTCCGGCCTCTTACAGCCTGTATGGCCACTTTCTAATGATGCTATGTAGCCTATGAAGCAGTTAATGTAAACAAGCTTAATTTTCCTTTTTGGTCAACATTTCAAAAGTTTGCTTCAAATTAATGTGATGATTATATGGAGACACAGCAAGTGAAAGTACATCAGTAATTATGTATTCAACTGTGTAGCTAAAGGTGTGAAAGCGTCCCAGCTAATGTGTCTGTCAGCCCACAGAACTATTCAGTAGCAAACCACTGAACTTACCTGTAGGGGAGGTTTTTTTTTTAAGCCGTTAACAACCAACCGCTTTTGTTTCCATCTTCTTTTACTCAGTTTATTACAGCAGCTCATAGTGCCACCTTCTATGCAGCCTATTTGCTCCAAAGCAGTTAATGGAAACAAGTCTAATTTTCCTTTTTTTTCCCCCACATTTAAAAAAAAAAAAAATTGCTGCTAATTCGCTTGATAATTCTGTGCTAACACAGCTACTGATGGTACTACTGTATTAGTAATTATAAAGGCAACTATGTTTTTTCTCCCAAGCATGCTGATTTATTTAAATGTAGTTAAAGGTACGGTGGCATATCGGTCATGTGGCTGCAAATCTGCCGGTTTGCTTGCTTTGAAACAGCTGATGTGTTTGTCAGCCTGCAGAAATCTCCTGCGGCAAACCACTGAACATACCTGAATGTAAGTTTTTTCAGCAGCTGGCAACCGATGCTTTAGTTTAGTTTTGTTTTTGTCACCCTCTGATGACACTACGCAGCCTGTTTGCTTTAGCAGTTAACAGAAACAAGCCTCGTGTTTCTTTTCTTTTAAAAAAAAAAAAAGCTGTAAATTCACTTTGGTAACTCCGTGCCAACACAGCTACTGACAGGACTGCTGCATCAGTAACTCTGTAGTCTACTATGTTGGTTCTGATTTAAAGATATGGTGACAGATTGGTTGTGTGGCTACAATTCTGAAAGTGTTGCAGGTTTGGTTGCTTTAAACCAACCATGTGTCTGTCAGCCTACAGAAATATCCTGCGGCAAACCGCTGAACATACCTTCTTATTCCTTCTGCTCACACTGCATAAGAGTAGCCTAACTACAGACAGTCTCGCTGCCACGCTCCCTCCTCCTCTGCCTGCCTTGTGACAGGTCTGTGTGAGACAGTGCAGGCGTAGGAGAAAGTGGTTGCCACTCGCTCTGTTTACGGCGAGTCGACAGCTTTACTGCGGATATAAAGTTGATCTGCTGCGAGGTGTGAGCGAGCGCTCGGCGAGAGGCCGGCTAGTGACAGTTGGAAATCCTCAGTTGGCTGCAGTTCAGCGGAGGCAGCCATCCTGCCACGGTAGCTGTGCCCTCTTCACCCCGAACACATGCTTACAGTGTGACACTTAACGCCTTTGTGCCTACATGCTTTTTGGGTGTGTCCTGTGGGAGTAGGTCCGTCTGAATTTCCAAAGAACTCACTGACACAACAAAGTGGTTGCCAAATTACATGGCATCCACACCATCAACATAAACTATGAGAACTATTTGAATGTGAACTCACGCAACAGCGCCGTCCTACGAGTCCCAAAAGACAGGAGATTCGCTTTTTTTTTTTTTTTGTCTCCCAATTATCATTAACAGTATATTTTTGCTGCGTCTGTAATCACTCCCCAGTAGCGCGTTGCGGATTACCTCCAGGCCAAACCACTTAGTTATAATTTATACAAATAGTGTTAGGCCCCACTGTTGTAGAATTATTATTAAAAATAAACATCTCCCGTCAGCTCATGGCAGGACTGAGCTAACACCAGGCCTCATTCCCCTTTTTCTCTCTCTCAGAGGAAACCTGAGCTCCCAACTCGAGCTGAAGAAAGCCATGCACAATAACCGAAGCTATAGTGTTTAATAACTTACACAAGAAGATACGTTTGAACACTCGCAGCTGGGAAGATTCTCTCAGTCAAAACGTTGCATTACGTCATTATAAAATGTGTAAAATACAGCATGAAATCCCGTAGCTGTGCTCGTAAGTGTGTGACAGTGTGAACTATGCTCACCAACACTTGTGTATTGCCTTACAGGCCACGCTCTCTCTTTTTTTTTTTTTCTGTTGCATGCGGGTGCAGCAGCATGAGCATGTGTTAAGTGTTTCCGTCTGGAGGCAAACAAAAAGACTCTATTCTCCAGCATTCTTTACCAGTGTGGTATCCAGAGACTGGGTCGGGACCCAAAGCACGGCCACAGAAATATTAAAAGGGTCCACGCGTTACAGCAGAACATTGGAAGTTGTGTAGATCAATGACGAATGCCTGGGACTAACATGGCAGGGTGAAGCAGGGGGCTGGAGTCCAGCTGGGACCACCCATGCAAAAAATATATACATTCGCAGAAGTGTGAAGAAGATAAGCACATCCTACAGATTACATGTGTTCTGCTACAGGCATGGCTTGTGTGAACCATCATCTCAAAGGAGTAGTTTCATATTTTGGAAAATGTGTTTTTTTACTGTTAAACTTTACACCTTTTCTTTATAGATTAAAAAAACAAGATAGAAACATGATCATTTGTGAGCTTTAGTAATGCTGGTAAAGAGATTTTGGGTCTGCTCCTCTATGCATACTACTATATCCAAATAGTACGCAAGAATCAAATGTAGTTTGCCAAAAATACCTGGACGCCCTACATCATTTGATCAGATTTTGCAGCATGCAAGCCAGCGTGGTTTCCTGACCCATCTGACCCACAATCCGCTGTGCAGTTGCGTCATTGTGTTTTGCAGGAGAATAAACAAGCTTTAGCCAACCAGAGACCACAAATGAACGGTCAAAGTTAAAGGCACTTTATTATGAAGAATGTAGTGTGCACCAGTTGGAGGCACACTGCATGAATACCCACAAAGTTCTGTTTCTATACAACTAAACTGCATTCTAAATTAGATTTTGTTTTGAAATAAATGTTATTTTTCACCTCTGACATGGCAGAAAAGGTGACCAGTTTGAAAAAGCCATGTTTAGGTCGATACTTCTACATATTAGAAGCTTAGGTAAAGGCTAGGCATCTAAATTCCTTGTTTAGAGTTAGGAAAACTAGTACAGTTTGGTTAAAATAAGACCATTTCACTACACGTTTGAAGCCTCTCCTCCATTTTCCAGGTTACCAGGGACACGTCTACATCATTTAACATGTAACTGTTTGGCTGAAAAGGAGCGGCAGTGAGGCAGTAGAATAAATGGCAAAGATGCAGATTTGTGATACAATAAAATGAAACGTAATCCAGAATGTGACTGAGAATGCATTTAATTCTTATAGGAATATAAGTTTGTGGACACTGGGTTAGCATGAAACAGAACGTACTTTGTGAGGGCAGCTGAAGACCACACTGAAAGTAAAATGAAAGTTTGCGATTTTGAACAAGGCTGGCTGCTTTCTACTATTTCCACTCTTGATGCTAAGCTAAGCTAATGGACTGCTGGCTTTATAAGTTGACTTTACAATCTGCAGAGTGGTATTTAATCTTCTAATCAACCCTCTGAAAAAAAAAGCAAATTAGCATAATTTTTAAAAAGTCATGTTTTCTTCTTTTGTTAATGTGCCATCCTTTAAAGAAAACATTCCTAGAAGAGCTTGTGCGTTTGAGTAACAGTACAGCTTTCAGGTCCAAACCACTGCTTTGCTTAAGTACACAGTTACACTTTCCACATTTGGGGAAAATTAAGCATTTTGATGGTTGTTTCTGTGTAACACTCAGGAAACCCTTGTCGTTAATGAATCGTTAGCTGTTCAGTGAACTGCAGGTAGCTCCTGTTGTTTGTGTTTACAAGCGAACATCCTGGGCGTTGGTCGAGACGATCTCCTGGTATAAAGCCCGACTGGCATCATGTTGATAGATGAGCCAGCTAAAGTTACACTGTTATTATAGTTTACTATAAACTACAGATGGGTGAACAATTAAAGGAAAAAACCTGAACCCTAAACCCTTGATCTCTTAAGTGAGGCGCTGCGGTTCTTCTGTGATGCTGTAGAGGGCCTTTGGCTGGCATGGGCCGACTCCACTTGTATCTTTAGAGCATAGAGTCACTGCAAATCAACCCAAAGGTTTTTTTTTAAATGATCGATCACCTTATTTCTATCCTGATGGAGGGGTCTCTTCCATTCATAAGACATGAAAGGTCACCAAATGGTTGGATAGGATGAAAAAGAAAGCTGTGACCTTCACAGTCGCCAGATCTCACCCTGGTGAACACGTGTGTGACATTTTGAATCGATATTCTCTACAACCGTCATCATCCAAACAACAAATGAGTGAATATGTA